CAGGTGTATTTAAAGGGAGCCTTATTACAGCTGTAATAAAAAGTATTTATTATTTATATATAATAATTAAATGTTTTAGTTGAATTCAAAATTTCAATGTTTTTATCTGAATTAAAAACCGCTGAAACTTACTCTCATTAAAGTATTGAATTTGTGATAATTTTGGCCAATATCTTTATTTCTAAATACTATAAAATATTAAATTGTTATTATACTTACATTTGGCAGTTTTCTGAAGACATGTTTGCCTAATTATTTGATTTTAATCCGTAATATTTTGTTTATTATTTCGCTATGAAATTTTTTTTAGAAACAAAACAAAAATCAGCTGTTGAAACTTTTGACACTTACGAACGGAAGAGAAAGCATTTGTTTACATTCGACAGGGTGATAAATATATATAAAATAATTAATAATGGTATTGCCATTTATAATAAAGAGAAAATAAATATTAAATTTAAATTACACAATCATTTTTCAATTCTTATTTTTTAGGAAAATAAGAGTTGACATTTTTTTGGCAAGGAAAAATTCAATTTATTATTGGTGGATTTTTTAATCAGCGATAAATTTTCAATTTGTTGGCACATTATTCTTTATGTGGACTCTTCACATAAAGATCTGCATACTCCTCAAATTTTAAAATAATCGATTTAAGTGTAATTGATTAAAAATTAATACTGATTAAAAATTTATTATTTAATTTTGTTTATTTAATAACGATTTTTAAAGGTTTTCATTTATAGATTTTTTTATAAATTTGCTAATTACATAAAAAGTTTTGAAAAATTTTCCAATTTATTTAAAAATATTCTATAAATGTTTAGATTTATTAGATAAATTTTCCATTGGAAGTACCACGTCATCTAAAGGACAGTTTTAAAACTTAACATTAACAATTCTCAAGACACCTAGAACGTATAATTGAAAGTTTACACCCCTAAGGGCCAATCTTTAGGGGAAAGATTAGCGATTAAATTAAAATGAATCCTCGAAAGATGTTTTTGAGTACTCAATTAGTTAATTTTGTTTGCAAGTTTAAGCGCCCAATAGAGGCGGTTTAATCTTAAGCACGATATGCAAAAAACATTAAAATGTTCTATTTATTGATTAGTATAAATTATGGACACTTCAAAATACATTTTTTTGTTTTTAATTTAAGTTTTAATTAATTTTATATTAATGAAAATCTTCTTCTTTTTTATAAAATAAGCATTGTTTTCATAACAAACAGTGACATTTTCTGTTGTTTTGTATGGCAACACTGCGAAGTTTAATCTTGTACTCAAAAACATCAAAGGGGATTAAATTTATTTTTAGATTAACTAATCTGATTATTAATTGGCATTTGATTACCATCTCAAAAACCCGCTCTAAGATGCCGTAGTTCTTGAGTTCGATTAAGAATTACGAGAATTTTTAATATTGTTTATATATTAAAGATTTTTTATAGGTTTTCAATTTATAGAATTTTTTTTATAACTTTGCTATTTACATAGAAAGTTTTGAAAAATAATAAATATTAAAAAATATTCTATTCTATTCTATTCTATTCTATTCTATTCTATTCTATTCTATTCTATTCTATTCTATTCTATTCTATTCTATTCTATTCGAATCTTTATAGAAAAATTTACAGAAATTCTCTATATATAGAAAATATTCTAATTCAATTCTTTTTCAAAATATTTATTAAACGTTGGAAACTTCATATTTTATAATTTTATAGAAAATTTGTAAAAAAATGTTATTTATAGACTATTTTTAAAAAATTTTGACTTACGAAAAATTTTAGATAACGTTTTGAGTTAAAGTAATTTTTTTGAATAAATTGAGAAAAAATGATAAATTTTTAAATAATAGAAAAATATTAATATATTATGAAAAGCTTTTAATATATTTTTAGTTTAAGGGAAATTTTGACAAAATGTATATTTTTTGAAAAAATTTTATAATTTTCAAATTGTAGAAAATTGCCTATTTACGGAAACTCTTTGATAAATTCTATATTACTTATATCTATTTGATAAATTCTATTATATATAAATTGTTAAAAAATGCATATAAAAAACTGAATAACTGTATTCTCAGATTTAAAGGCATTGATAAATTTTTAGATAAATTTTCATATTTTCGATACATTTTCAATTCGTAGAAAATTTAAGATAAATTTCATATAAAAATACCCAATAACGGTATTCTTAGACTTAAAAGAATTGTTCAATACTTGAACCACCCTATCACTTTTTCAAATTAAAATTTGTCACCAGCAACAACTACAACAAAGATGTAGTTTTTTATATCGCGCACGTGCAATTATTGTTAATTCTTATGACATTTATCATAATATTCCTCTTTGTCTAAACATTCTATGCCAATCCGGACAAACGAACGAATACAACGAGAAGAAAAGAAAAATAAAAAATGTGCTTTCCTGTCATTCATTTGCTCGAGTGAATTTCTTTACAAGTTTTACTTGTGACGAGTGGAGACGGTTTTCTCTTGCCTGGCGGTCGGTTAACGAACGATCCGCTAATAACGCGCATTTTCTTTTTGTAAGAACTTAACGGAATTAACTTAAAAAATTGTGAAAAAACAAAGACAAAAATCTAACCAACAAATTGTGTATTTGAGTGATTAAAAAATTAACAATTATTTTATAACTCCAACAAGTGAAAAAAAAGATTACGTCGGTCGCAAAGTAAAGGAAAAAAGAAAAAATATGGAAACAACAGCTGTAAACAGTGTAGTGAATGGGAATCACTACGAGCAATTACATCAGGGACGTCTGAATATGTACAAATCAAAAGTCGATGTTGTCTTGGGAGCCCAATGGGGTGATGAGGGCAAAGGCAAAGTGGTCGATATGTTGGCCTCCGATGTGGACATTGTTTGTAGATGTCAGGTATGTTGTTAAATCTAATAAAGAAATTCATTTGTACACATGTGTATAAAATATTTATGGGCGTGAAAAAGTGTATGTATGCAGTTACTAGTGCCTCCTTACGTATCCCTATCAATTGTATCCTTCCACAAAAATTGTTAGAAGAAAATCATAAGATATGATGGAAAAGTACTAGCTGCTGTTACTGTCAATGGTCAAGGACGTTTTGAAAACGAAAGAAATCTGTGTCTATAACCCAATTGCACCTCACACTGCTATTTGTTGGGATTTTACAATTCTTTTGTATCGATGGAACAAAAGTCGTCTTCTTCTGTCTACACAGCGTCTATAATAAATTGATACTTCTTATATTTGTACCCAGAACGAACAAAATAAAATGATGCGTAATGTTTGGATTGCATCAGCTTTTGTTTCTTTAATTTTTCCTTATTTGAATCTATTCTATATGTATTTTTATTTTCTTATCTTTTGAAAGATTCTCCTCGTCGTCACTATTCTTCTTTGTGCCCGCTTTAATATTTATTTCTCTTTTGACTGTTTTTTTCTTGTTTTACATAATACACTCTATACTTATTAGAATCAGTTAGTCAGTCAGTCAAGGGGACAATAAAGATTTCCTATTACTTTAAAATTTTAAAAATTCATTTAAAATTTATTACTTTTTTTGCTAATAGTACTTTGTTTGCCATTTTCTGTTTTGCTAGTCGTTGTTGTTTATCGAAAAATAAATTCTGTTGTCGTTGATTGTTTCTTATTATGGTGTATTTGTCACGTTTTTGGCAATTGTTTTAAAGATTTTATTTGCTGATCTAATGTATTTTATATAGTACGTAGTATCTACTAGGTATAATGCGAATTTTATATTTTAAATTTTAGTCCAATCGGATAACGGGAAATATATTGAAAAATGTAATATTGGGTAAATAATAGGACTTTTCTTTTGATTTATTCAAAAAATATGGCATTAAAATTATCTTTTCTAAACTTTTTTACCACATAGGTATTATCTTCTAGAGAAAATTATATATACAAAGTGGTATAAACAATTTATATCAAGGACAAACAACAAAGTTATTGACAATTTTCTAAATTTGGTGTTTGTTTAGCATCAGAAGTGATGTAAACAAAAATATGTACATAAAAAATAAGTAAAATAGGTATGAATTATTTTATCGTTTTTGCTACATAATTGTGAAAAGAAAATGCATTTAACTTTGTTGTTTGTTGATGTTAATATTTTATGCCATGTTGGAAAGATAATTTTATCTGAAATACCTATAAGATTTGGTGGAAATGTTAAAAATATGTAATTTTAATGATTTTAATCGATTTCCGGCACGGGTTTCCGTTATCCGATTTGGCTAAAATTTGACAACTGTTAAATTTAGACACTTGTGAACCAAATAAGACCCGTCATAACAAAAATTCATATATTATGAACCCCTCTAATGTACATATTTGTGACTCATTTTTTTTATTAAAAAATAGGATATTAATATTGGTAGTATTTATAAATCAATTTTATTTCAAGTCTTTTGAAAGTAAAAAGTATTGACAATACATTTAGTTTAAGAAATTGTCTTTCTTTCTAGTCAGTTTATCATTTTTAGTTACTACAGTTCTGTAATTATTGTTGTTTTAAATTCATATAACTGATTTAAAATATGGTTCCTAAGTTTGGCAAAAAAAAGTAACCTATATCGACATTAAGAATTGTGTTAAAAAAATAATTTTGTGGAAATAATGTTATTTGAACAATTTTCTATAGATAAAATTATAAAAATACCTTTTCTGAAAAAAAGATGAAAAAACCATCATTAAAATAACATAACATTATTTTCTATAAAATAATTTTACACAATTTTCCATAGCAAAAATTTTCTGTATAAAATGTTTTAAACAAATAATTTTCTATAGAAAAAATTGTTATACACAATTTTCTATGAAAAAACTATATTCTCTTAAATTTTTTATTAAACAGACTCTTAGAGCGGGTTTTTGAGATGGTAATCAAATGCCAATTTATAATCAGATTAGTTAATCTAAAAATAAATTTAATCTTATGTTAATCCCCTTTGATGTTTTTGAGTATAATATTAAACTTCGCAGTGTTGCCATACAAAACAACAGAAAATGTCACTGTTTGTTATCAAAACAATGCATATTTAATAAAAAGAAGAAGACAATTGTAAATTTAATATGAAAATTAATGAAAACTTAAATTAAAAACCAAAAAACATATTTTGAAGTGTCCATAATTTATACTAATCAATAAATAGAACATTTTAATGTTTATAAAAATTGTATTAATTTTTTTTTGCATCAGTTGTTTACACTTTTGCATTTTGTGCTTAAGTTTAAACCTCCGTTGGACGCTTAAACTTGCAAACAAAATTAACTAATTGCGTACTCAAAAACATTTTTCAAGGATTAATTTTAATTTAATCGCTAATCTTT